GCTGTATGATGAATGCAGGAATGAGTCCCCCATCCTTGGTCTCATTCTCTCCCTAGCCATCATATTGGCTTGACATTTAGGGGATCCATTTCAGACCTTCATTTTGACATGGGAGTTTTCTGAGGTACCCTCTAGGCATCCATCTATCCAGATCGGAGGCTTCCTATTCTCTGCGTGTTGCAGCAAGTGGAAAATTGTTAAGTACGGAAGGCATGGGGGTTTCCCGGGTGGCATGTAGAGCTTTGGTCCATTTACTTTTGTTTCTGTTTTGTATTCTAGTATAGGACATTGCAGTCTATTCATTCTGCTGCTGACCAGGCATTCTACTTAGCTTTTTGTCTGTTAATGAACAATGCTGTTGAAGGCCATTCTTGTATGTGTTCCCTTAGAGAAAAAAATGGGCAGATGTGTACCAGGATGCAAATAATAGTAAATTTAGCAATTGTGTCCAACACTTAGGTCAAGAAAGAGGCAACTCCCTCTCTCTGGACTGTATATATCAATTCCCAGTCACGGTTCCCTCCTCCCCACTATTGTTTTTGTGATGGAAGTTCTAGTTTGGTTTTCTGTTGCTGTGATAAAATAACATGACCAAAAGTAACTGAAGAGGAAAGAAAGGGTCTGCTTGGCCAAAGTAGGAATCCAAGACAGAAATCTTGAAGGACTACTGCTTACCACTGGCTGGCTCTGTGGCTTAAGTGGCTGTGTACCTTTCTTATACAGCCCAGAATTACCTGCCTAGGGCTGGTATTTCCTACAGAGGACTGGGTGGTCCTACATCAATTACCAATCAAGAAGTTATGCTGCAGTCATGGCCACAGGCAAATCTGAGGGAGGCAGTTCTTTAATTCAGATTTCTTCCTCCCAAGTGTGTTAAGTTGACAGCCAAGATTAGCCACCACGATACATAACTTGACTGAGGGAATCCTATAAATCAACTTGGGAAGGATTCTCTCTTATTCCCTGCCCCTCGTTCTAGCCTCAGAACACTCTTTGCACCCAAGGCTTTTCCCATCCCTCTGAGGCCTCTTCCTTATATTGCACAGAACTCCAAGTCCTGAAAATATTAGCTTTTTGAAAAAGCTCTTTATTGAAAAGCTCTTCTTGGCTATCTTTCCTCTAGCCACGGTTCTTCATACAGCTATCAAACCTTGTTTCTTAGGTAGCAAGTGTTGTGGTTATATATTGCTATGTGGTAAACCTCCAAACTTAACGGCCCACAGTAAATGCACCTATAACTCATAGTGATGCCTTCTTCATTCATGACTCTGGTGGTTGGTATCAGCTAGCTGGTTGCTGGGAGGCCTATATATGGCCCTTCCCTGTGGTCCTGGCTTCCTCAGAAAGTGCCTGAGCTCTGAGGATGAACGTGTAAGAACTAGAAAACTGATCATGGTCTAGTCTAACCTAGCCTCCATTTCACGCGCCATCACTGAAGGACACCCGTGAGTTTTCTACTTCTTGGTGATTACAAATACAGTGATGAAAAGTAAGCCCACTGAAGTTTTGTGCAGATGTAAGTTTTTACTTCTGTTGGGCAAATGCCCAGGAGTGAGATTAACAGGTCACGTGACAGATGCACAGGAAACTGAAGACGGAGTCGAACTGTCTTCTGCACCAAATATGGATTTGTCTTCTCTTGGGCTGCGTTTGAGACATCCAGTTGTGCTGTATCTTGATCCACATTGGGTGCTGTTGGGGTATTGCCTGGATTTTGCCATCCGGTACACACCTGTGTATATGGGATTATTTTATTTTGGCTTTGAGTTGCATTCCTCTCATGGCTTGTCTTCTTATGTGCTTCTTTGATGTATATTATATAAATGTATAAAAGTTAGGGAAATGTCTCTTTATAGAGATTTTGCCCAGTTTTGAAACTGGGGTATTTGCTTCTATGTACCTTTCCTTCTGAGGCCCCACCAGCTAGCCTGTCCTGATTTGTGATCCTTTCACACAAGGCTACAGTGTCACATTCCCACTTGGTCCGTGTGGCTTCTTTACTGCATTATAGTTGGTTTCTTTTCCTTGGTTGCCTGCTGGGCTGTACCAGGCTGTCATTGTTACAGGGCAGGAACTGGGTGCTATGTTCATTGTGACATTAAACTCTGTGATTTATGTATGGTGGCTGGCACTTACCAAATGTATGAATGGAAGGAATTACTGGGCATAGACAGCCTCCCATGTCTGCACACACATGTCCCTAATTATTTTATGTATTCTGCTCCTTTCTTCCTGCTTAGTTGGCTCCTGCCCATTTTTGGAGCCCTGCGAACCTGTGCCCAGCTGCTCCAGGTGGAATTACTTGGTCCCTGTGTTCTAAGGGCACTTTTAACATTCCCGGTACTTGGTATGGCTCCCAGCTGTCTTTCTTAGTCACTACAGTGTGGGGAGGGGCAGGGAGAGCAATCACTCACCTCAGCATGTAGTAATCCTCCCCAGTATTTAGTAAGCATTGGAGCAGTGCTTACTGTTTCAATGAAGACACTTCGCCATCTCCTTCTAATTGTTTTGGTTTTTTTTTAATTGTTTGTTTTGTCGAGATAGGCCTAGGGGGTGACATCAGATTACTCTTCTAGTTGAGGATGGCCTTGAACTACCTCCTGCCTCCACTTTCCAAGTGGCGTGATTACAGGTTTGAGTCACTGTGCCTGGATTTTAATCTTAGCTTGAGAATAACATTAAGCAACTTAATGGAGAGAGGTGTGAACAGAAAACCTGGCAGGTGGGCCCTGTGGATTGCATTGTATTTCTGGGGCGCCTGTGATCCTGTATCTCATCTTCTCACTCATGTCTGATGAGCTCACACATAGTGCTTCAAAATCAGGCACGAGCTGCCGTTTTGTGTGCAAAAACTCTTAGGGACCAGAGTCAGAATATATCAGTGACATATGCTTTTATTTAGCTTTCTGTCTGTCTATCCATCTATCTATCCATCTATCTATCTATCTGTCTGTCTGTCTGTCTATATGCCTACCTACCTATCTATCAGCTTATACAGTCAGCCTAGGTATCTGTTTATAGAAGACAGAGTACAGAAAAGATGGGCTATTTCCACAATGTAATTTCATTCAGCCACAAAGAAGAATGAAATCGTATCACACGCAGGAAAATGGACGGATTGCATAGCTCAGCATGTTAAGAGAAATAAATCAAGATTCGGGAAGACAAGCACCATGTATTCCTCCCATGCCCTCACACATGGAACCTGAGCTTTGGGGGGGGGGGTGGAGTTGGGGGAAGAACAACAGGAAAGTGGAAGTGGCTCTCCCAGGGAACAGGAAACCGGGCACAAGGACGGTGGAGTGGAGGTGAGGAGTAATGGGGAGGTATGATCAAAACATAGCGTGTGCACACATAGATATGTCAGAGTGAAGTCTAACTGTTGTATGTGACTAACGTGTCCTTCAAGAGGGGGAGATCATTTTAATAAAGAGTCTCCTTCTCTCTCTGGTCCAGTCTCACTTCCTGTCTCTGCGGGTCAATCCCTTTGCCTGTGAAGCATAAACATCACCTCCTGGCGTGTTGGGGGGGGGGGTTAGCTGAGGTGCTTTGCTTGAGGCTCTCAAGCTCGGCTGGATTTCTCAGCTCTTCGCACCTTCTGCCTGTCTTTGCTGTTCCGGGGGATATTGCAGCTCTGCATCTTATCATGCGCGCGACTAAAATTGGTGCTTGGGTTTCAAAGATTTACAGTCTGAGGTTGTGGGAGTCAGATGCTGAAGCAGTGAATCTGAGAGAGCGAAGTGTGGAGGAATGCATTATGCTGGGGATGGGGGAGGCAGGCACCAGGAAGACATATGGAAAAGGGGGTGCGTGGTGAAGGCATCAAAGGGTGTGCAGACTTCCAGAACACTGTTGAGCCGAGAAGGGGGATTCCGCCTGTGAGGCTCATGGTGTGATGGACGAGTCAGGAACTGTCAGCCTTTTATTTGGAGTGGGAGTGAAGAATGCATGGTAGGGTCCAGTGGCTGGGAAAATGGTGTAGAGGCAGGGAATCCACACGCAAAGCTTTACCTCGTAGCTTGCGAGCTCTCGTGAAGTCTCAAAGATGATCACATGTGCTCTGTCTCATTAATGGGATTACTGCTGGGAAGTGTAAAAGCTACCAAATGGTTGCAGTATGCCTGCTGAGCGCCGAGTATCGGTTAGGTGGTACCTACTGTCGGAGTGTATGAGGCTTTATCTTTGCTGTGGGAACAGCCTCTGTGGGCCTGTGTGAGATTCTTGATGCTTGTGAATCTATAAAGAAAGGTAAGGAAACAGGCCCATCAGTGTTGTGTTAGATGTGATTCCCTTCTGAATGGGAGAATTTCTTCAGATACATGCTAGCATTAGCTTCTTTTCCCTGGAAAGTAGGAATTGGAGGTGCTGGGGGGTAATTTACTTCAATTTGTGGAATTCTGTATGTATTCTGCTGTGTGGAGATCTGTTGCAGAGAACTGAATTACTATTAAAATAGTTTGGATGATCAAGAACTTTAATAGCTCAGTAGGTCAAAGTGCTTTCTGACAGACACAGTTGAGTCCTTGGAACCCATGGGAAAAGCAGATATGGTGATTTTATCCCAGCACTTCACAGTGAGATGGGAGTCAGATTCACAGAGCTAGAATAGCCTGGAAGCTGTCAGGCCAGCTGGCCTGGAGAACACAACAGAGAAATGAGAGAGTCTCTCTCTCATCCAGAAGAACCCAGAGTCTACTCTGAAGAGTTATCCTCTGAACCTACACACATAAACTTTGCCATGTGTGCGCTTCCACACATGCATTCGTTGGATAAAAATATAATGTCTTAGTTTTCTCTGTTTTGTTCTTCAAGACAGGATCTCATATATCCTAGGTTGGTTTGAGTTACCAAGGCCAACCTTGAACTCCTGATATTCCGCTTGCCATCTTCCAAAAGTGCTAAGATGACAGGCACGCTCCACCGTACCTACCTAGAACTACAGCGTCACTGTGGCTACTTTGCAGGACCACGCTCATGTTCTTCATTCGTTTTGCTTCTAGAGACCTGATCCCCATCATTGCTGCCCTGGAATATAATCAGTGGTTCAACAAACTGTCCTCTAAGGATCTCAAGCTGGTAAGTCACTGGCGATGCAGCTTGGCTGAACTTCAAAAGGCTGATCATCATTAGAAAGATTGCATTTTGTTTCCGTGGTGGTGGGCTGCACACACTTCATTTCTTGGGTAGGTGTCCTTCCTAGGGATGATTAGCACAACATCGTATGAATGTGAGAGCTTCAGAGATTCACCCTCCTGTTTTCAGTGATTTGAATAATTTTAGAACAGAAATGCACATTTAGTATCATCTTCTGTATACATTCATGCAGTTGGCAAAAGCTGTTAAAGTCACATTTGCACAGACACAAACAGCTGGTTTTATATTCCAGTCTTTTATTTCATCACTACCTAGTTTCCTATGAGAGGGATTTCAGGAAATACCAACAGGTAAAGTTGGTCTGACTGAATTATAATAGTTAGTGTTAATTCTGTAGATGCTCTTTTTTATTTTTTTTGGTAGAGAGGGGATTTATAGATACACAATAAAATCAAAGGGAAATCTGTTGATTTTCATATTAAATAAAACAGCCAAATATTTGGTCTGTTCTGGTAGGGGAAATTGTTGGGAACTTGACAGATTCAAAGCTGCCATATGGAAAGATTCCTATCCACAAGGCAGTTTTCAGATACTTCATTTAAGATGAGAAATAATTTAGATATTGTTTATAGAGGTTTGGAATCTGGGAGTACGATTTTTATGATAAATACATTGGATTGAGAAAGGGCTTTGCAGAATGGAGTCTTTCCAATAGGCTACTTGGGTGTCTGAATTGGCCTAGGATAGGTGTGACTTACACCATTGTGGGTGCAAAGATGGACTGAACTCACCTTGGGGCCCTTAGGAGCCCTGGTAGCATTGGAAAAGAAATCAGAAACCTGACTTTCTTACCATGACTCTTCCAGCCAGACTGTGGGAGTGGAGATGAGTTATCTATAATTGTCCTGGAGTCCACCTTCTTGTGTACCTGTTACTGTGAGATGCTTGCAGTCATGTTCATTTCTGACCTGTGTTTAACACACTGTGTGGGTATTGTAGCTTCTTGTTGAAGTAGCTGCATGGTAAAAATTTGCTTCATAGATTTTAGAATAAAATCACTGAATAAATAGATGGAAGAACCCAACCATGAAAATGATCTGCCCTCGTAGCAGATCATAGTGGGTAGTGTTTTTGTTGTTTGTTTTGGGATGTGGCTCAGTACCCTGGTCCACAGTGAAAACTGTAACAAGATCCTCAATGTCATTAACACTCTCACTTAGTCCTTAGGTCTCTATATGGGACATCCATCACTGCCTTGGGAAGTCTTTTTGCTTTATCAAAGAAAGGGTCAGAAGGACTTATGTGGACTTCTTGAGCCACCGAAAGCATGCTTTTCTTACTGCACCGTAGTTATATATTTTATCTTACTCTGTTCAGACTGAACATTACAATACCATAGATAGGATAACTTATACAACAGAAGTTTGTTTCCCACAGTTGCAGATGCTGGGTTTGTCCACAATTCAGGTAGTTACCTGCTCAATATGCGATGGCATCCACTTCCTGATTTGTAAATGGCTCCATTAGATGTGTCTTTATGTGGTGGAAGGGGCAGATAGCTCTCTGGGACGTTTTTATCAGAGCACTTACCCTATTCCTGAGGGAGTGCTCTCTCATGTCCTACTCACCTTCCAAACCCACCAGCTGATACCATCACATAGTTGGTTATGTTTCAATAGGAGTGAGGGGATGGGGCTTGCCATGAGCTCAGACCACAGCATTCTTGTCTTTTCCTTGAAGAGTAGCACACTCGGAGACTGTATTTTGTGACATTAAACCATTGGGTAAAGACTGGGAGAAATGATGTCCCCAGGTCTTGGTGGCGCACAGTGGGACTGCCCTCTGACTAGTTTTTGAGTGAATGTGAATATGGTTGGGTGTCACATTTGCTTTGGTTGTGTAGATTTATAGCACTCCAGTGAAATGTTTTTCACCAGAGTTACAGCATGGTCAGCAACTGTTCTCTGTTGCAGTCCGCAGATGTCTGTGAACAGATCTTGAGAGTGGTGAGTAGGTCCAATCGACTGGAAGAATTGGTGTTGGAAAATGCCGGGCTTCGAACGTGAGTATTTTCCCGAATCTCTGAACATGTTGCTTTAAAATTTTAGGCCGTTTGCTCTTTTAATTGGTACAAGACTCAACTTTGAAAAAGTTGAGGTGCACATGTATAGTGTTTTTCCTTCTGGAAAAAAAAAAAAGGCCAAAATGAAAAACAAAAACAAAAACTCATAAAATCTTTGTTACTGTACCAAAATACTCAACAGAAGCAACTTAGGTGAGGAAGGGTCTGAATAAACTCACCATGGCTGCAGATGCAGTGCATCATGGATCCTGACATGGAGGGCATGGTGACACCAGGTCAGGAAGCAGGACAAAGGCCAGGTGATAACCTGATCCCCAAATCTATGGCCCTGTGTTGGCTAAGCCCCAATTGCCAAATGCTCCTTAACCTCCCTACACAACCCTATTAGCTAGGGTTGGGGGCACGTGTTATGATCCCTGAGCCTATGAAGTAAATTTCACACTCAAATCACATCACCACCAGCCACCAAACAGCCCATGATACCATCATTGCCATAAAGGCTAAAAATTTGATAGCGTGTTCTGCTACTGTATTGTGGGACATTCTGAGAGTCCATAGTGTAGCAGTTAAGAGTATGGTCTTTAGTAAAATGTCTCATGCTTCAAGCAGGAAGTTTACAAATTCTACATTTTGGTGCTTTTACCTTTGAAATGGAGATCGTCGCTGAGGTTACTATGAGAGCAGGCAGATTGATGCATCTGTGGTAGTTGACAAGGTACCTTTCTCACTGAAGATGCCTGTGCAGTTCACAGTCGTCGTTTCAATAATAAGGGTTCCCTGTGATTTTCATACATCAGTCAGTTTTAGTCATTTCTCCCAGTCTTTACCCAATGGTTTAATGTCACCCATGAGTTTTATTCCGAACAGCCAGACTTAGACTCTGTTAAGAACAAAGGCCTTATTGTTGTGTTAATGAGCAAGGCAGGTAGTTTTGTAATTCCAGCACTTAGTGCACTATTTCAGGTTAAAATATAACTAAAACAGTGATTTTTCTTTTCCTTTTGTGTGAAATAGGGTGCCAGCAATGGTGACCTTTAACTCAGTAATTTAATCAGTTTTACGTTTATGAGTGTTACAAGAAATGAGAAGCGAGATATAAGGAAGAGCCTACTAGAATTTTCAAGAAAGTAGGTTTGCTGTGGGATTAAAAAACAAACCAGGAAGGGAAGTCGGTGAAACTATGAGTAGCATTCAACAGTGTGTCTAGAACCATCCTGAGAGAGTGCTGGTGGGTGGGGGAAGGGCACAAAGGTAATGGTACACTTCTTCATAGCAGAGAAGGCCTACTGGCCGGAGAATGCTATGCTGTCATATTTGTCTGTGCTCAGGAAGCAAACAGCCCACAGGAAGTATGGCCCGGCTTTAAAACTGCAAGGTTCATTCCACCCACGTACTCCAGTGAGGTCTCCAGCCCTTCAGCATTTTTCATAGCCTTGCGGAGCAGGACCAGTACACGGGGACAAAGTGACCGCATAGGGGATTTTTCCATAGCCAAGCCAAGGGGAAAGGATTTCATTTTAATCCCTTAATGTTTTATTTTTATTTTTTGAACATTTTGCCTATTACTCATGCCACTGGTGTTTACTTGCAGAGATTTTGCACAGAAATTGGCCGGTGCTCTAGCCCACAATCCTAACTCAGGACTTCACACGATCAACCTTGCTGGGAACCCACTGGAGGATCGAGGTACTCCATCTCCCATAAGACCGGGGGTGCCAGAGGCCTAGCACCACCAGCGTCCTAGTTTATACAGGGCCGGGAACTAATCTTCAGTTTAGTCACCTGGAGCCCTTGCCACACCTACCCAGAGTCTGCCACACAGACCTGGAGGCCTCTCCAGTGACACCGCCCTCCACTCATGCCCTGAGAGCCCTCCCCACGTGCACCTGGAACCTTGTCCACACCCGCCCAGCGTCCTCCCCACACCTACCAGGAATTCTCTCCACACCCAGAGGGAGTTCCACACACACCCTAAGTCCTCCTCAGAATCCCTGGCCGACAGCAGATTAACTTTCTTGGGGCTGAAGGACGCGGAGTCACTGTGCTTTTGCTCACTCTGACAGGCAGCTTGGTCTGGATCTTCTACCTCTCACGTGGCAGTTCGTGAGGTGAAGAGCCAGTTAGATCTCAGAATCTTCAGTTTCTTTCCTAGTCCTCTGTGATTGGGTGACCCACTTTAACACATTCCCCCTCCCCCCGGCCCTTATGATTGTTTGGAGACAAGAGTTTTGCTGTGGATCCTAGCCTGGTTTCAGATTTGTGCCTTTGTTCCTCTGCCTCAGAGGTGCCAAGAGCACAGGCGTGCGCAGCGATTGATACAAATCCCCGCCTCCCTGGTAGATGTGGAGAATAGAGCCTTGCGTCCGAGGAGCGTGCTGTACTGCTGCGCTTCATCGCCAGCCTGTGGTTTCTCTCCAGATGAATGTAGAGTCTGTGAATTTAATAATTACGTGGTAAACCCCTCTTATTCTCACCTGTCCGTCTCGCTCTACAGGAAGCGTTCAAGAGGGGGGTCGGCTTAGATCTGTGCCCACCACACGTACCTTTTCACACTTTATAAGGCTTGAGTAGGTTCTTACGGTGGGATTGAAGGATGCAGTTGGTGCGAACGATTCATCACCATGCGTTTGTTTGCATCTGGGGCTCGGGGATGGCAGAGTGCTTGCCTAGCATGCGTGAAGCCCAGGATCCATCCCCACCCGTGTGAAATAAAAACAGAAATCAAAGGAAAGCGTTCTCACACAGCAAAGGCAGCACCTGTGGTTGACACAGGAAGGAGAGCTCGTGTTGAATTCTCCATCTTTGCCTCCGAACATTGATGGATGGGGCTGGAGCAGGAATCATTCTCTCTCCCTGGAGGGAACATTTTGTTTTCATTTGCTGCTGGAAATGTTTTCCAGCCTTGTTGAATAGGGCCTTTCATCTTTCAGTGGTAGGTATTTGATGAAGATTAATTACTCAGCTGAGCGGAGGGCACGGCAGCAGTTTTGCTTCTTGACTTTCTGACTGGGGTGCTGCTGTGTGCGGAAGATGATTCCCGTGTAGCATTCACGCAGAACCTCAAGGGTGACCTCAGTCATTTAAAGAACAGAGTGTGAAGGAAAGTGAAGGCTGAATCCAAAACTAGGTCATGTGGCAAGAGGCCTAAGAATGAGCCCAGACTGAAAATAAAGATGCAGGGCTGGAGTGCAGAGTTCTCCATTGGTGTCGTCATTTCTGTAGAAAAAAAAAACAGCTGTTCTCCCTACCAGCCTGTTAGAAGCCGAAGAGTGCTGAATGTGGCAAAGTGGAAATGTATATAGCACCTCCTGTAGTCAGGGGGGCTGTGTTGGGTTTGTTTGTAAGATTCGGGGAACCTGGCTGTATTCAGTACTGACAGGGCCAAATCAGTAGAGGGAAGTAGTGAGGTCCTTAAGGAGGTGAACTCCGGAAGACAGGTGGGCTAGCAGGGCACTTTTAGTCATTAGGGAAGTGTAAATTAAAAGCACGATGAGGTACTAGTTCATAGCTCGTCATCTGGCTGTGATAAAAATAAATGTATTTGAGAGGGTGTGAGGAAAGGGAAATGCTTCCATTGCCATTGGGATTGGAAAAGGATGCAGCTATTTGGACACTAGAGAGATAGATGTTTCCTCCCCTGCTCCCAGACGGTTTCTCTGTGTGCCGGTCCTGGCTGTCCTGGACTCACTTTGTAGACCAGGCTGGCCTCAGACTCACAGAGATCTGCCTGCCTCTGCTGCCCGAGTGCTGGGGTTAAAGGTGTGCTGTGCCACCACACACGGTTGAGAGACAGTTTTTTAAAGGGTTAAAAACAAAAGTTCCAAAGAGCCTAGCGCTTCTACTCTTGGTTATCACCCAAAAGAGATGAGACCGTCTGCACTAAGACTACTGTGAGTACAGGTAACAGGAGTCTGTCTCTCCCACACACACTCATACACACACTCACGCACACACAGATACACCCACACACATATGTGTGCACACACATACATGTATCTACGTACACATTTGCACGCACACACATACACACATATCTACACATCTACACACACAGATACACAAACACTCATACACAGTATACACAAACATGCACACACACTGACACACACACATACACACTGATGATACATGTGCTGATACATGCACATATACACATTGACACATACACTGACATACATACTCACACATACACACACAGACATGTACACATACTCACACATACACATACACACATACTGTCACACATATACACATACGCACACACACCTACACACGCAAACACACACACATACACACGGACACACGTACAGAGGTGGTGACTTCAAATTTAGTTCAAGCCTCCTGTCTCTACCTCCTGGGTGCTGGGATTACGGTTACACCTCCACTCCACACGTGCTTTTTATTCATTCCTTTTAGTCAGGCTAATCCTCAAAATATCCTTGGTAGCGTTTAAATTTTATGTAGAAATATCTTCGTGAATTTAGCTGTGTATAGAATATTAAAACTTCAATCTATGGAGTAGTAACTTTTGTTTTTTTCTTTTCCTGTTTATTTCATTTTGAGATGGGATCTCCTGTAATTTAGACTGTCCTTGCACTCCTGTTTGTCCTGCCTTTACCCAGTGCTGATTTTAAAACAATCAAAAGATGGGGGTGGGGTCAGAGAAGAAAATCTGTGACCTAGAAGAGAGACTGGACCCGGAAAGATCATTTACAAACCTGAGGCAAATAGCATCTCAATGTGTTGGTAATCCAGAATCCTGAGGCATTGAAGCACCAAATGGAATCTGATTTTGCCCCTAAACCATCCACCCTGAGACTACTTGGCAACTCTCGGACAGAAAGTTGGGCTGTTGGCTTTGTGATATGAATATTGATACAGCAAACGCTGGTTATTTACAGCATATACTTGTTATGCCAGAGTCTAAAGGACAGTTCTGCAGCCTTCAGAGTACCACGAGCTGGTGGAGAGGAAAATGTGGCTCAGTGAGCTGAGCAAGAGAGTGTCTGGGTGAATGTGCCACATGCTGTTGTATGGACATGACAGCTGTCATCTTCATGAGAGCGGCTGTGACGACTGGCAAGATCAAGGAAGAGCCACTGTGCTGTTCCTGCTGTGAATGATGAATTGAGGCTGAGGATGGAGCATCTTTGGTGGGTGAGAGGTGGGGACTCCCAGTGTGGCCCATCCTCTCTGTGTGGTAAAATGGGGTGCCTTCGTACTGCAGCGACCGCTGCATTGTCCTTGCCGTGGGGAGTAGGACCTGTGACTAAGTCTGAACTGTCAGAAGGACAGTTCTTTGAGGCAGGAGCGTGCTTAGGCAGACTTAAGGGAACTGGCGTGTGAACTAGGTCCATTGGCGATTGAGAGCAAGTGAAAAAACAGAGAGTCAAGCAGAGGGCCCTCTCCTAGTCATTTGGGGGCAAATGTGAGCTGGAAGCCATGGAGACAAAATTGAAAGGAGATCAGATGGGCTGGGGGTGGATCTTTGCGAGGCCTTAAGGCCTGCTCAGCAGTTTACCACAGGGGCAAAAAAAAAAACAGAAAACAGAGAGGCACAGAGGATTGGCACTGCACCCCCTGATATAAAGAAAGGGCACCTCCAGGGGTGGGACCTCCACACCCCACTACTCCCTCAGTGTAGGCACCAGGGTCTCCTGCAGGCTAATGGAAAGCATTGTGGATCCATTTGTTTGTTTGTTTGTTTTGCGACAAGGTCTCTTTGTGTAGCTATGGCTATCCTGCAACTCACTCTGTTGACCAGGCTGGCCACAAACTCATAGAGATCTGCCTGTCTCTGCCTCCTGAGTACTGGGATGAAAGGTGTGTGCCGCCACCACCCAGCTGCATTGAGAATTTATGTTTTTCAAAATTCTTAGGCTACAGAATAGGCGTGGGAAGCAGGTACGCTGTAGTTCCTGGTAGCCCCAGGAGTGTCAGAGTCAGCTGATGGATAAGGAAACAGAGCTAGCTATAGAGGTGAAGATAACCATTCTTTACTTAGGGGTTGGCAGTTTTCTTCCCTGAACATGCTCTGTGATTCATCTCCCCCAAGTAGAGGTTGTTTGGCCATCTAAGGGGTCCTCTCAGCAGCTAAGTGTGGACTGTAGAGAGGCATTGGCTAGCTGTAACTGAACTGCAGTGCCGGCCAGGGGTCAGCTGAATCCAAGGCGATGGGTGCCCGGAGCAGCCCTGATAGTTAGTGGGCCATGGTCCTGATAATTAGCAGACCTGTGGACTGCCTTATTCCCTTTAGGCCATGGGCCAGGCCAAACAGGTTGAGCCAGCCTCACTCATTTCATCAGAGGTGAGGAGATGTACAGAGGCCCCGTGGAAATGCCCAGGAAGAAGAAGGCGATCAGTTCAAGGAGATTGTTCTCGGATACCTAACTGAGGTGGCACGCCAGTCCGTGCTACAGTACCAAAACATCGCTCTTCTAATGGAACAACTGATACAAGTAATAGAATCTTTTCACGCTGTGTTAGACTCCCGAGATTAACTGACAGCTCCTCGAGAGAACCAACGATGGATTTTCAGAAGGGAACAGTCAGATATCTATGCCACTGCCATGCAGGACTCAGAAAACCCTGGTGGAGCATGTGGAAGTATGTGAAAACCAGAGGAAGGTGCAGGGCGCCACTAGAACTTATTCTTCCGGTCTGACAGCTGTGACTGCTTACAAGAG